TTCACGCTTTTTCTCCCCTTGCAGTTAAGGCAGTTAAGGCATAAAAGTGAAAATCAGCTTTTCGATTTCGGGCACGATCATCCTCGGTAATATAAGTACCACTGATAGTGACTAATATGAAAATATTCGTCGTGTAAACATASAAAATAATATATTAGGTATATCAAATCGTATTTTATGGAACTCACGTCTAATCGCGGAGTTGAGGTTGAGCGAATCGGCGGCGGAAGTCAAATCGTTGACCAACTGTTCGTGGACAGGCATGTCCGGGCCGTCGGCGGACTCGGTGGTCGGCACTTGGACGCAAGCGGACATGTGTCGGCGGTGGGTCCGCTGCGACCGTTCGGGCGTCCGGCTTTTTTGGTGCCGGTCCACCTGAGCGTAAACCGGTTCGTTGTCGGACAGGGCGCTAAATACACGGAAGACAGGCACTATTATTATTATATACAGCAATCTAATCGCACAAGAATCATTAATAAACATTTTTGAAGGGCCCCTTGACGAATTCAAGAAGTTATTKAGGRCCGTAAAAATTGRATGTATATTATATTATTATGATTATCCAAAGAAAGGAAARAGAAAAGACTRAGTTTAAAAAAAAAAAATTCTCGAATACGGGCCAGACAAAGTTCGTCCACAGGCAGCCATTGGGTGGCCCCTGAYATGACATATTACATTATGTTGTTATTAATTAGTGGCGGACGCTTTTCACTCACTGTGTCGAGCCAGTACTGTTGGCCCTGTGCAAGGACGACGTGCTGGTGCGCGGCGACGACGTCCCAGCGCAAGCACTCAYGGCCATTTTGTCAGCGCTCAGTTGGGCCATGTGCCGCCTGAGCAACTCCAGCTGCTGGTTGCACTTGTGATTCTGCTCTCTAAGGTGCTGGTTTTGAGCCTCCAGGTCTCTCAGCTTGTTGGTCACCCATTCCTTGATGCGTGCCGCTTTTGCTTCGACCATTTTGGCATCCTGGAGCCTCAGCTGACGCTATATAAGCACAATTGTCAATCATACGGTATTAATAATACTAAAATTATTAATTTTTGGTACCAAATCATACCTGTTCCTCAACCTGGGTCGCCAGCTTGCTAATGGCTTGTTCCTTTTCCGCCTGATCGGGTTGATGAGTAGTCCATTCGGCTTGTAGCCGTTCCTCCATAACACGCACCTGAAAGCAGAAAAACGCAAATAATTATGAATGAAACCAAAAATGTGTCTCGAAATTAACACACGTCCCGCCACCATCTCCCACCCAACGAAAACTGATAACACCGTGTGGTGCATAGTATAGGTATTAATATAAGGTACCTGCACCAGTAGTAGAGTTCATTGGCTGCAATGACGACGATAACTATTATATCAGAAACGTATACGGCGAGAGGTTAGACCGAAATGACGAATATTGTGTATAATAGTATAGTATTAGGTATTAAAAACTATGACGAAGCTGACTCATGCATACGACGCAACGGCGACACAATGCATTGTGTAGTCGAATAGACTAGCCGTCTGGCGTGCGTATATCCCTCCCCACCGCAGACGCAGTTCCCATGAACACTTCACACACCCCTAACCAGGTCAATACAAATAGGGGGTACACTGCACAAATACACACACACACACACACACACACACACAATGTCACAATGGATCAGGGTCATGCACCCCTCGCGTCCAGTATAAACGATATATCTATAATATACATTATACGTTTATCGATTTGTTGAATAACGAAATGATTACATATATATATATATATATATATATGCATCGTAAACTATGAAACTATATGGTCATATTATTTTGTTGATTCCATTGAACTTTCCCAGCAAAAATAACAGCAATTTTATATTTATAATACGCCTATCGGCTGTCGTCTCTAAAATCTGCGTAGTCAGAAAGTATAGGTAAGCACGAGAGGGGGTAAGCTGGTTGGCTGAGACCTTGCAGCAGTATTATAATCCTCGGGGACAGAAGAAATAAAACAAAATTCTTTATACATTTCGTCGAGATGAAAAGCTACAGCGATTAATATAAATATATATATAGTTAGGCATAGAATATATATTATATACCCAATATAATATATATACAAGACATGTAATATATTCATGATGTAAACAGTGCCTCTACGTATAAAATAATATATAAAACCATGTACGCGTATTGCGTCGAGGATTAGCCACGCGCTGCACGATGACTTAAAGACTATTTTTTTAATGTATTCATTCACGTATATATAGAGGTTTATATACAATAGACAGTAARAACCCGATATTACATAATATTATTGATTTTACCATAAATGTACATGATATATGATATATTAATATTATGTTTAAGAATGTTCAGGCGCCGTAATATGATACCGAGTAAAAATATATATATATATGATCAYCGACCCCGATGCTGCAGAACGCATAAAATTGACGAGCGGAAAACGAGTGTACATACGATAGTGTGTACCTTCCGGCTGAAATATACCGTCTAATACACGCTGTGTGCATCCGACTTGCAACATAGATCCGTTCGTAATGAAATTATATATAATATATGTAGGTATATATATGAACCGCGGTAGGAACAAAAAAGAAAACCTATAAACACCGCCTAGGTATATTTTGGACGTGCGCCAGTGCATTTTTTCCATTTCGATCGGATCACGCGTTCGCCGTTCGTAATTAATTTTTCGATTATACACATAATATTGTCACTACGGAACAGCCACAGTGTCGTCATCCTAGTGAAACGTGTTTAATGTACCCACCGTATTTTATTACGTGCATAGTCTCGCATTGTTTCCTCCGCTKTAATAGTTTTTCGCAAGGAATCGGCCGGTGTACAGGTAATGATTTAACACATTTAAATTAAATATATGGGTAATATGAACACGTTACGGATTGACTATCTACAAATATATTCGTCACGAGAACTATATATGYCACATTCGTACGATATAAATTATTATAACGTTCGATTATCAAACATAATGCATGTCGATACTTCACGCCGCTGCTGTTCTACAATAATATTATTATCGATCGATATTCGCGAAACAGTCGTGCGCACAAGCGTAAATAGGAGGGGGGCTAGGGATTAGAAGGTATTAGCATCCCGATTTTAAAATTAGCACACACAAATAATGTTAGTGCTTATGTGCAGTCAAAAACTAAAAATGAGAAAATTTTTTTTTTTTTTTTTGAAATCGCGCCTGTGGTCGTGCGATCTACGACTCGCGGGTATTCTTCACACTATTGCGAATACCTATATCATCTAATACCATCATATTATTATATGCAAGGTACACATGATATATCACGATTACATCATCTGGACGTGCACGTGCGTATCATCATATCATATGTATAATAATATTATTATATTACAACTACGCGTATAATATAGAGTGATGCGTATAATACATGCTGCAGCAGAACGTGCAGGTAAAGCACAAAAAAATTCGCCTACCTTATCGTTTCGTGCGGCGGTGGCGGCTATGACGTGTGGCTGTCGGTAAACGGACGACGTCAGAGCGGGACGAGACGAGCGACCGCGGCCGGCGATCGGACATGCGACGAAAATCGAGCGCTGCCGTCGGGGGTGGCGACACGACGCGACACGCGACGTTAGCGGTATACAGACGACGCGAAAAAATTGGATAAAACGCCGGAAAAAAATTTTGAAAAAAAAAAAATAATAATAATAATTACTACGCGCGCGATAACAGAGGCGCGCCACATGAGATATCACATGATGTGTATATCGTAACGAATATATTATGATAGAGAGATACGTTTTCGGGGGTTGGTGCGCAGGCGCGACCGCCGGAGCGGCGCATGTCGCGTGTGCGGAAGAGGGGCGGCGGCGGCAGGTTCTGTAGTACGGAAACATGTGACCGGACGAGGAAAGGGGTGGCCGCCCCCCCCACCCCAACGATAGTGTACGCGCCATATACCTACTGCACACTACGTGGGGTTGGATGTGGATGAGGTGCGCGAGAGGAATTAAAAAATCAATGCCCCCCTCGGAAACCCGCCACGTTGCCAACGGCAACACGCGCGCCGTCTGTGCCAAAACCATACACGTAATGTTACATATTATTACGATATAATTGCTATATTATTATTAAAATTATTACTATTATATTGTTGTTGACTTTTTTTTATAGCAGGTAGGTTATGTATAAAAAACAATATAGAATTGCATTCATAATTTAACGTGCACGCGGATTTGTGTATGCGCACACGTAATACATATGAGATACAATATATATATATATAGTATGCACGTCCACACGTGTTTGCGTTGTTGGATACAATACGACATTTATTTATATGGGAGGCAGCYACAAACGAGTTGTGTCCGGTAATTGTTCTTGGGTTACAACTCTACAAGAGTAAATTGTGTCCAGTATTTAATTCTCAGGATTTCATACATTTTGTCAGCYAACAGGTAGTTTTTTTCAGTCTTGTATTTTTTACCAGAACTCCTCARTATTATGAAATTCATTTTGTTCATTATCTTTTTTTATAACCTATGTATATTATACTCTAATTTTGAAAATTTATTTTTATTTGTATTACTATTAATATTAATATAAGCCAATAAATATAGATAATTATTAAAACAAAAATGGTCATATGTAATTAACAATATAATTATGTAGATATACTAAAAATTAAAAAAATCATATTAAATTATATTATAAAAACGGATATGCAATTTTGTTTTATGAGTCGTTTT